GGGTTAGACTATCATCGCATGAATACGTAGTTACAACATCGCCTGACCTCGTAATTCATCACCTACAGGTTACTAGCCTGCTGGTGTTTCCACGGGGTTGTCTATAATAGTCCGTAGTCGCCATCTATACTCTGGTAGATGACTACATCTCCATATTGTCGGACAAGGTTGTAGTATCCTACATCACCGATTCATAATCACCTATCTATCATCACCTTCCTATCATCACCTATCTCTCATTATTTTATTTCATCACTCACCAACTATTTCATCTACCCATGTTTTATCCCAACATATTTGTAGATATAAAATAAATATACAGTTTAAATCATTTAAAACATGTATAAATCATTCATCCAGCATAGACAACAAGTATTCAAACAATATGCACACATAGCACGTAATTTATATTAAAATACTTCATATCTATGTGTAAGATGAAAGTAACTATGCACTCACTTGAGTAGGTGGTGACTCAGCACTCGGACAGCGCTTCGATACTCTCAAAACGATATTCCTTCGATAAAACCTAGTACCGATACCACTAGGGTTTAGTTTAACGATAACCGCGACAATTAATAGTCTGACTATTATTATTATTATATAAGCGTTAAATAACACTCAATATAACTCATAATAATAGCCCAAATAATTATTTTCAGGTCCTAATAATGTTACTATAATTAATTAGAAGCTATATTAAAACTAGCGTAGGCGTAGCTCACTTACAGCGGGTTTTTCGCAAAATCGGGCTTCGCTGGAGCAGCGTTTTCCCGAGCCGAAAGGCTCTTTTCTCGGAGCCGTCGGGCGCTCCGGGGCTTCCGCCTCGTGCTAGGGAGTTACCCTAGGCTTTAGGGGGTTAGGGAGGCTTAGAGATAGAGTTTAGAGAGAGAAAGAGAAGTTGGAAGGTGTGAGAATGAATGGAACCCGGCACCTCTATTTATAGGGGTGCTGACTGGCCTACTCGCCGAGTAGGGGGGACCTACTCGCCGATTTGGTCCATGTGGTGGCCTTCTGGTGGTGCCACGTGTCCAATTCTGGTGGTGCCACGTCACCCCCTATCGCGTATCAGCCTTCAAACTTAGAAAAATCATAACTTTCGCATACGAGCTCCGTTTTCGACGTTCTTTATATCCACGCGTAGGTAAAATCAAGATCTACAACTTTCATTTAGACTCCGTCGGCTAATTCTCGACCGATCTCAAATTTAACAGTGGGAGGCGTTTAGCCTGTTAAATGACCGCGAATAATTCATAATTCCTTCAAACGGACTCCGTTTTTGTCTGTCTTTTTACCGTTGAGTTCCTATTAATGAGACCTTCAACTCGCATTTAGGTCGCGTAAGCCAAAAATCGCTCGAACTAAAATTCGAGTTTCGGGCTGTGCACTGCTAAGCCGAATCTTAGAAAAATCATAACTTCCTCATACGAAGTCAGATTTGGACGTTCTTTTTATCGACGCTCTTAGTTTAACATATTCTACGAATTTCATTTAGATCACTAAGGCTAAAAAGTCCTCCATCGTAAATTCACTATTTACGCTTCCCGATGCCGTGCCGGTTCCGTTGCGAAACTTCGACGGGCCATAACTTCTTCGTTATAACTCGGATTTCGGCGTTCTTTATATGTACGGAAACCTTGTGACATATCCTACAACTTGTTTAAGATTATTTATTCTAAATACTCTTTTGTCGAAAAGTCATTTTCGACCCCTATTGCCTCTAAATTGACTAGCCCGGATCTGCGGGCGTTACAGACTGGTCCGCCTTGTCGGGCCTTCAGTCCACCGGGTTCACCCTCCGAGTCCAATCATGTCCCTCGAGTAGGGCTGTAAACGAACCAAACGAACACGAACAAGGTCATGTTCATGTTCGTTCGTTTAAGCTAGCCGAACAACAAACGAACACGAACGGATAAACGAACGAGATTTTCTTGTTCATGTTCGTTCGTTTAACAAATTACTTTGTTCATGTTCATTCATTTATGTTCTTGAACATGCTAAACGAACATAAACGAACAAACATAAACAAACAAAGATAAAAAAAAAACACAATTGAACATATATGAACATAAACAAACATATAATATAACAATATAATAAAAAATAATTGAATATAGATGAATATAAATAAACTTAAACGAACGAACATAAACGAACGTAAATGAACATCATAAACAAACGTTCACGAACATAAATGAACGAACGAGACCATTGTTCATGTTCGTTCATTTAACTAAACGAACAATAATTTTTGTTCATGTTCGTTCATTTATTAAATAAACGAACATAAACGAACTTCCCGCCGAACAGTTCACGAACGGTTCGCCGAATGTTCAGTTCGTTTAAAGCCATACCCTCGATTCTACAGTGTGGTTGGTCCGCCCGCACTGGGCTTTCAACTCACCTGGTCCACTTTCTGAGTCTACAATATGACTGGTCCGCCCGTGCCCGGGCCTTCAGTCGGCCTGGTCCACTCTCCGAGCGTCGGCACGTCTGGTCCGCCCTCGTGGGGCCTACAGCCTATCCGGACCGCTCGCTGGGCCTTCGGAATAACCGGTCCGCCCTGGGTATCTTGGTCTACAGCACGAAGCAGGACCCGCCTCAACCCAACTCCAGTCCAAACAACCATGTGCACATAAACATACAATCACATAACAATTCATATTCAGGCAAACCTATCTAGCAGATCACATAACACAACATACTCTAATAGGATACCGACCTAACCGATCACTAGCATAGCCTCACCCTACATACCAGGATACCGACCTTAACCAGGTCTCTAACAAATACCATCCTAACTACCCGGATGAATACATATCAAAACAATAACATAACAACAAATACCCAGATCTCAATCCGATAAAGGGCTGGCCTTGGTGCCTTAGACCCCGTTGATATAGTGAGGATAACTCACCTCGAAACTGCCGGCTGAAAGGATAAGATCCCACTGCTCCAAACTCCTTCACGAACTCCTCCACTGAACACCAAACACTCAAATCAATAAATACCCTTAATTACCAAAATACCCCTGGAAGACAACTGGTCAACCTTTGGACAAAGTCAAAGTCAACCCCTGGCTGACTCTACTCGCCGAGTCACCCGATGACTCGCCGAGTCCCCAAGCTCAGAACTTCCCTCAATCCGTGACCTAACTCGCCGAGTCCAACAACTCTAAGTCCACACGCATCCAACTCACCGAGTCATCCCTTGACTCACCGATTCTCGACTCAACCAGAAAATATTGGGACTCTTCGACAAGACTCGCCGAGTCCTAGAACAGACTCGTCGTGTCTAAGGCTATCTTCAACTTACTCGCTGAGTTGTTCATCCAACTCGTCGAGTTCCAACTCATGTTCAAGCAACTTGTCGAGTCCACCCATGTGACTCGCCGAGTACCACCGGGTCTGAATCCATACAGAAGCTTTCCAAGCCATGCATATGATCCAAACCATAGATCTACTTCTCCTAAGGCCATCCATCACGTAAAGTGGCAATCTTTATGTGAATCCAAGAAGATCTATGCATTTTTACTCTAGGGTTTGGGGTTTGGGACAAGATGGCTCCATCAACAACACAAGAACGGGGACTTTAATGCTCTTAAGACCTTCTCCACTCCAGATCTGAGGTAGCAACCTCAGATCTATCCTTCAAACTCAAGATGCCACAAGTCTAAGCTTCCCACACAACCCTAAAATGAAGAATCTAGAAGAACACAACCCAAGAACGAGATATTACCTCAAAATGAAGCCTCCAACAACAAGAGATCCGAATCTAAACAAAGCCCTTTGATCCAAGCCTCTTCTCCTTCAAGATTTCTTCAACAAACACCTCCTCAAGCTCCAAATGAACTCCAATCATCCACAATCACGCTTTCTAGGGTTTCTGGACTTCAAGGGGGGATCAAAGAGGCTGGGGAGAGGGTATAATGTTCTTTAAATAGGGCTCATTCCCCGGATTTAGGGTTTTCTCCACTCAGCACCTACTCGCCGAGTCCATCTTTGGACTCGCCGAGTAGGCCACTTGACACGCGACCAAAGTCACGACCCTACTTGCCGAGTCCATCCATGGACTCGCCGAGTTGCCCTTCAAGATTTACACTTTTAGCCCTTCAACTCTACTCTTGATATTCGGGGATGTTACATATAATTACATATCAAATGTTAAAAATTATGTTATCTTTTAAATATTGTCTTGTAAATATGTTGTGTAGGATAAGCCAACAAAAAAATAATAGAAAATAAACATAATCAAAATAGAAAAACCACAATCAAATAAAGAAGAACATTGGGTGGTTGAATACATAAATAAAAATGTTACATAAATATACGATTAAATCAAAAGAAAAAACTAACATTCGTCTACTTTGGTCAAACAAAAAAAAACAATATTCGTTTTCTAAATTTTCTGTCTTTATTGAACACCATTCAACCATCACTACTAGAAAAACAACCTTTTACGACGCGCAATGCGGGTCGTAAAACGCTCAGACGACGCGCAAATGAGTGTCAATAAAGGCTCTGTCATAACGAGAGACGACACGCTTTCGCGCATCGTCTGTAGACGACGCGCAGTTACAACACGCATTTACGACGCTCATTTACGACACGCAATGCGTATCAAGGAAGGCCCTGTCATAAAGGAAAACGACACGCATTTGCGTGTTGTAACCTAACGAAGTGCATTTATGACATGTACTATGTATCATTAAAGCCCTTGTCATAAATGAAGATGACACGCATTTGCGTGTCATAAACTTCAGGAGCCATTTACGATATGAATTTACAACACCTCTTTATGATACTCATTTATGCATAATACATAAATATGGAAACAAATATATACCAAAACAATTAATTTCATCCAATAACACCATTTCAAAAAATTGTAATACATTGGTATTAAGGGGATCTGATTGTACATTGTTATTAAGAGGTTTTCCTTAAATATATAACCTAATACTACATTGCTATTAAGGAACACCTTGTTTCAGATATCATTTAAAAAAAAATCCTCCATGTCAAAAAATTGGTTGTTGTCCACCAGGTGTAGATGGCAAGTAATGACTTGAACATTAGCTGAAACAAAAAATCTTTAATTAATCACACAATCAACAAGATTTAGAAGTACATCAGAATGCATATATACACTACAATATGAATTATAAATTTGAAAAAGGAAGTGCAAGAGAAGAAAAAGAAGAATATCATATGGTTAGTTACCTGATCTTCTTCTTCTTTGTACGTGGGGAATTTGGAATAAATACACTACAATATGAATTATAAAATTGAAAAAAAAAACGTATGAATGTAAGACTATTGGCTTACCATCTTCTTAGCACATGGGGAATTTGCAGCTCATTGCTTGCATCCTGTCATTTGAAGAAACATGACAGAAACATGTAAAGTTTTTAAATGAAATTAATAGGGTTTATGTTATATATAAAATATAACACATAATGCCACTTCCCTTCCAACTATGTCATGTGATGTTCTTAAAGGTATCCACTACAAAGAAAAATGTTAATATTACTCAGTCCTCATAAAAAACACACTAATATGGTTTATGTTATATATAAAATATAAAAATCACGAAATTATCCAATTTGAACTCCTCGCACTTCCTAAAATATCAGGAAATTGTAATACAAGGAATTGCTGGAATGGAATGGAATGAACCATTCCATTCCTTCTCTAATCCCATTCCAAAACTAGTGATTGAAGTTTGCATCTTACCAGGTGATCCATTTTTTTCAATATTTGCAACCAACCTTACTCCCTATTTGAAAGAAAGAACACAAAGAATGTTTTAGTAAAAAAAAGGATGCATAAATGTAAGAATTTATAAATAAATAAATAAATAAAACCTTATCAGGATCCATTCCATTGTTTGGAGATCTAAAAACAATAGAGTATATCTCCATTCTATTTCCAAATGTTCTATTTCATATCTTTCAACAAAAAAAGTAGGAAAAAACTATTTTTTAACATATGGACGATATTACCCTTGTCCTAGGTGTTGTTGAACCCATCCTACATGACCTAACTTGATGTGAAGCAACCTCCACTACTTGATTTCCTCCAATAAAATTCGGATGTGATGTGTTTATATGATCAATCTACAATAATAATGTAATTGATTTAACCATTAATATGGAAATTAAGAATTTAAAAAATAAGTAATAGATTAAATACTAATACCTCCATTTCTACTAAGTGTCGAATCATTGTTTGTGAAGGTTCAAGACCTTCAAAACTGTAATAACAAAAACTGTAGAAAATTAAAGCTAGCTTTAGATAGTTTAAGTGTAATGTCCGTTAGTGAACTAAGTAGAAAAAAACAGAAAAATATACAGTTGTTCTTTAATAAAAAAACATAGCTATCTAATCTCTCACAAAGTGGATTCCACTTTTGCCCCTGGTAATAAAATTCAAAACATCAAACAATTCAGAACCATTTTTAAATTGCTCAAGGGTAATGATATCAAATTGTTTATTACCTGAAAAGACTTCACCAATACGATACACCATCTCACATTCCTTAACCACCCTTTCAGAAACCTCTTTACTAACAACCAAAACCATCCCAATTCCCATATTAAAAGTCCTCTTCATTTCACCATCTTTAATCCCTCCAGCCTGAAAAGGGGCAAAACCGGAAACATCATTAGAAAAAAACAAATAACCAACTTTTTTTTAATACCAAAAAAAACTGAAATACCTTTTGGATCCATTTAAAAACAGGGGGAACCAAACAAGAGCACCAAGCCCCGTGTGTGCAATTCCTTTTATACCCTTATTGCTCTCATTGCTTATGATATCAATCACTTGTTTTACATATATTACAGCTTGTGCCATTAAGGCTTCCGCTAATATAACTGATTCTTCACCCCGGAGGTTCTTTCGATTTTTATTGGATTGTATGTAGTTCATCCTAAAATTCCTTTTATTAACTTCACTTGATAGGTGGTTTTTCAATGTAGTTGGAGATTCAAGGTGTCCAATATCGGATACCTGGTGTCAAACAGAGATAGGAGGCTTCATGGTACAATCTTTACCTTTCCTTATATTAGTTATGCTTAAATGCAAATAAATAAAAAAAGCCTGGATCTGCTACTTCCATTGATTTAGCCCTATGTATTACTAATATTAGCTATGATTGGTATTCATCATTATTGCCTCCAGATTACTCCCTTACCTGGAGCATGGCCTCGAAAGCCTGGATCTGCTACTTTCCCTTACAAAAAAAAAAAAAGAATAAGAGTTTTTCCATTGTTATTTGATTCTTGATATGGTAAATAAAATGCAGCTAGCCTGTGATAGTGGATGAGAAGGGAAAGGAAATTGAAAGGTAATGTAGTGGGTATTTATATGTTAAAAGCTCATGGCTAGGGGCATTCAGGGCTCTTTATGGTGATCAAGAATATATGAAACAACTTATTTTATGCCATTTCCTGGCTATTATTTTAGTGGTGATGGTTGCAGTAGGTAATTTACTCATATGTAGGTTGTGTGTGTTTGGCCTTACTAATTGGAAAACTATAGATTTTTCCTAATATGCTAAGTTGGTAGCTGGTTGATAAAGTAATAGATTTTTGCAAAAACTTGCTGATCAGCTAATTGGAAAATATTAAATGACATATAAAGGTATATAACTGAAAATGAGCGTATAAGGGTATATTTGTCAAACTTGTGGAAAAATCCTCATGGGATTAACTTCTTAAAAAGATACATTCCAATAGGCTCAAAAAATTAAGCTATAGCGTATGCCTACCAAACACAACCATATTATTCATTTTACATCTTCATTTAGCTAATAATGTTAAGTTTTCTTTTAGGGACAAGAATGGATACCATTGGCTCACAGGGAGAGTTGATGACATAATGACGTAATAAATGTCTGGTATCAAATTCTTGACCCAAATGACATACCTGTCTAACTTGTCAAAACCAAATCTAGCACCAAAATAATACGCGGCAGAAAGTATCCATGCGTCACTATGGACAGCAACCAGAGACAACCAATCATTTTCTGGCATTCCACACATGCAAAATTGATACCTAATGCAGGTTAGGGAGCTCTGGAGGGACCTCTTCTGCTAGTAGGTTAACCTCCGATTGTTCACTGCGGAATCCATACAGACAAAGGTTTTCCTTTTCTGAAATATAAACGAATATAAATTATTAAAATACAACTTTCTTTACAGTTTAAAAAGACTAATAAACAAAAATTATATCAAAGGCACATAACATAATTGTACAAACACCTTTACAAAATAGTATAGTAAAGGGAAAACACTTCAAAGGAAAGGAGCATGTTGTATACAAGAAAACATAATAGCATCACATTCACAACATTTTCTATGCCTTTTTTTTAAGAATATTAAAGAAACAAACAATCATTTTTTTTTACAAATACTATGCAAAATCCCAGAAATCATGATTTGATTGTCACTACCAACATTTTGATGGATGATATCCCCCCACCCAAATCTCTCCTAACTTATAACTTTGAAATATTCTTTACATATGCAAAAAAATCCATGACCATAATCAAACCAAACCATTTGATAATACATGCAAAACCGCATATAAATGCAGCTTTTAATTTTGTACTCTGGTAGTACACAGAGATATACAAAAAGAGTAAGAAAAAAAATATAATCACCGATCATGATTTGAAATACAAAAATACGCATTGAATTCTCCATAATGAATTACCAATTGAAAATAATGAAATCTTTCTAATATATACGAAATGAATTGTTGAATATATACGGACGAAGAAATTTATCCGAAACTAAACTCACAAATTACACTGAGAAGAGTTGTACCTGCACGGAATTGGACATCAAAGTGGTAGCTGCAGCAACGATGAGCGATGGTCTGCGAGGATATGTAAGGCGGCAAGGAGTAGAAAGCCTAGCGGTGAGCACCGGAGGAGATGAGGTTAGACACGGCATATGACGGTGGAAGAAGGCGGTGGCGGGGACGGAAGTGGTTGCAGAACGGAGTAAGGTAGAAGATAGAGGATCGATATGCGGAGGAATTGAAGCCATCTTCGGTGGTGTTTGTCGGTGTGTAGTTATATAATAAGTGTCGATCGATCCCCGGTGGAGATTTCACGAAAGCGGTAGGAAAAACGAAAACTTTGGTTTATTCCTCCTCATTCACTGTTTATTAGCGGTTTCTCCAATTTAGAAATGTATTTTCTAAAAAAACATATTTATACCCTACACGAATAGAAAAGGAGAGAAACAACGCAAAACATAAACCCTAGTACACACATGGATCGCACATCCCATAAAATCGCTCAACATCTGCACAATAAATGAAAATCATTAGAATTCGAAAAGATCTGCACAAAATTATATTTATACCCCTGATCAAGATCAAGAAGAGAAGTATAGAACAGTTGTTTTAGTGTCAAACAAATACCTCTTTCTTTAGTATATTGAAGAGAAGGGAAGAGAAGAGAAGAGAAGAATGAATGTGTAAATGATAAGAATAGATGGTTTTTCTGTATCTGTCAAATGTTAATCGTTTTAGGCGAATCACTAAAAAAAAACTCACCAGGAAACGCTTAAGGTTTGGGGGAAGGGAAGAAGAAGCTCATTACCTTGATAATTGAAGAACCGAAGCAGATCAGAACTCAGATTTCTGACGATTCCCATCGTTGACTCTCTTATTGTTCTTTTCTAAGCAATCCGCAATCGAGAGGTAAACATAAGTATCAAATATATGGATTTCACCCCTTTGAAACCTATTTTTCCGATACCAAGGAGAATAATGGTGGATATGATTCCTTGTTTCTAAGGATTCACGCATGTAAGCCGACACCACCATCGAAATCGACAACGCCATCTCCGAAATTGACCGGAAAGCACCTCTGTTCATCATCACTGACAGATTTATCCGAGTCTCCCTTATTTTCGTCACTTCTCACAATAGAGAAACAAGATGGGATAGTAGATTGCGAAGATGCAAGAAAGAAGTTAGAAAAGAACAAGGCGGGTTTTCAAAATTTTAGGGTTTCATTTTCCACTGTATCTACTCGAGGCGTGTTTCAAAAAAAAATAAAAAGCGACACCTACAGAGGACGTGCGTTTAAAATTGAAGCGCCCTCCGTGTTTTTTTTTCTTGAGACGCTAATTTTAGGGCACGCAAAAATGCGTGTCCTCTATCCTACAATTTTTGGAAGGCTGACAGTATTTATAAGGGCACACAAAAATGCGTATTGTAAATCAGCGAGTGTCATTGTTTGCATGTTATTGAAGGGTATTTTTCTTGTAGTGCATAAAAACTTGATGACAATGAAAATGTTTTTCTTGAAAAAGAAGAATGAGAAAGATATTCCAAGTAAAACATTGATGTTTGGAGAGTCACACTCAAGATTGAGTAATACATACAAATCACATATAAAGATCAAATGAGAAATTGAATATAAAGAAAGAATAAAAAAACTTCATTTGTTTTGGTTGAAAGAAAAAAATCATATTACAATTACCATTGATGAGACATAACCTATTTCTTCAAATCATCATATTTGGATCGTGAATGCTTCAACCATATGAAAACTTTTGAATCATAATCTCTTCAACCAAATGACGACTTTTTGTAACAAAAATGTATTACTATAACTACATATATAATGAAGGTGACATGGTGTAGGGGTTTGGAATGCATGAGGTGTTGAAGTTATAGAGTGTGTGACTTTGTTGGATTGGGATTATGTGTGATTAATTACTTTGAAGGCGAAAGGGTGTGGGGTTTCAAATGCATGAGGTGTTAACAATTTTTTATGGGGGATTCAAATGTATGAGATTCAAGAAAAAATGCTAGCTTTATAACTATGTATGATATATATATATATATATATATATATATATATATATATATATATATATATATATATATATATATATATATATATATATTCAAAAACCCCAACTAAAAATTCACTCATCTAAAAATCATATTTTCCTCATCCATGCATTCCTCTCTTTTATAACTTCTTTTGCATCCTATAATTTTTTTCATAAATTTTTTAGACGCAAACGGTAGGTACCAATGTTTGTTTTACTGATCCAATTATTTATCAACAACAAAAACACCTTTTCAAAACCCGTGTTACTCAAATACTCAATCATATAGTAATAAGTTCTATTCAACAACCGTCGGTAATAATGACCAAGTGGAAAAATATATCTGTTACTGATCTAGTAATATGTTGGCTACTTGTCGAATATAGAGTGTCATACTTGTGTAAGACAACATCCAAACACCATCCTAATTATTTTCAAAATGAATAGAAGTTTTGCCCGTGTCCAGCTCCCGTGTTGTTATGGTGGTATGAAGTTACCGCATTCCAATATATTCATGTGAAAACATGTAGAAATTGTGATGGAAGTTCCGTTAGTGGTTCTTTCTTCCACAAGAAGCTTGAAGGGGGCTTGTCGCTATTAATAAATTGATCTAACCAAGAACGGTATTACATCGGTATACATTATTGAGTTTACATGGAAGGACAATATCAGGACAACCTTGAACATTGAGAGTGTTTAAATTGTTTAAAGAGCGCGTCTGAGAATGGTACACATACTTGTCCGAACTCTGCCTATGCCTTGATTTATTTTTGGCATTGGTACATTACCTACAAAGTTCGGTAACTTTTTACCACATTTATATTTTTTTTCCTGGGTTTTTAATTTTGTTTTGATACTTAATGTAGAAAATTCATATGAGGCATATTCAACAAACATCGTTACACAAAAAAGATTCTTTTTTAGATTAGCCTTTCACCACTACAAAAAGCGCTAAAAGACCCGGTTAAATAGCTTAAAGAAGCCGGTTTTGCAACCGGGTTTGATGCTGGCGACTCCTATGTGAAATCTGGAATAGGACCCGGTTCTAAACCGGGTCTTTTTATTACAAATAGAGCTCGGTTTTCATTTACATAACCGGGTCATATAACGCTTCCTGTGCCAACTATGTAGGAATATTAGAACCGGTTCCCTCCAATATAACCGGGGCATATGAAAACAAAATATATACCGGTTCATACAAACAACCGGGTCATAATAGACTTTTACCCTTTTTTACACAATAGGTTTAGAACTTGGTTTCTAGATAAGCAACCGATTCCTTCTAACACTCTTATATATTTTTAATATCATTTTATAAAAATAACAGTACAATACTTATAGGCTATCAATTTATAACACATATTGTAAAGATAAACAATGTTTTTTATGTGGAAATGTTAAATAAACCATCATAGTCATTGATTAAAATATAATCAAACAAAGACAATTGTCTAAGTAGCAAAAGAAATCATGGATTTGGTAATTTCATACATCATACAACTTGCATGAAAACTTACAAATAAAAAAAGAAAAAAAACATTTGTCATGACTTGCATAGGGATTGTCCAAAAAATCAATTGTAGTGGTTGTTTCTTCTAAATTCCCTGAAAAATAAACAAATGAAAGTAAAAATATAAGAACCTCAACAAAAATAATTAAACCAAAATTAGGAAGTTTTAGAATTCATTAACTAACCATATATGTTTTTTAGAGGACCACATCATTCATATAGTTATTCAAAAACTCTCTAGACCAGGTAGCAACAGTTGCAACCAACATCTTTTCTTCGAAGGGACTTTTGTCATCCCAAATGCTACCAGACTATATTAAATTCAAAATTAAACATATTCATTAACAAACCAAATATTTTGTTGCAATAAACAAAATCAACAAATATTAAAAAGCTACTTACTTTACTTGGAAATCCATGTTGTCTTGTCATCAAGAAATCAAACATCCAGCGCCTAACATAATGTCCGCTCTCTAAACCACCAAGTTGTTGGTTGCACTAAAAATTGTAGCAAAAAGTAAACACTAATCACACAAATGAAACTACAACGACTATTTGTTTTGGTATATAACAAGATGAATTACCTCAGCAAAAATCCAGCCAAATGGAGTTGAAGTGTTTTTTTCATACCTCATGAAAGCCCTTAAAAGAAATAAACAAGTGTTGTGTTCAAAATAATAATAAGATTTATATCTTGCTATGACGTAAGTAATTTCTTACATGTCCACATGTTTTTTGAGCAGGTAATGGTAGTCAGCAGACTTTTGTATACGATCCTTAAGAGAATCCAAAATATAGACAACACGATTGCGAAGGGAAATCACCAAGAGCACCCAATGCTTACTAGAAATGTTTAAACATTTAGTATAAATAAAAGGAAAAAAACAAAAAAATAATAATAAAGATAAGAAATTATTGTACTTTTGCAAATATGGTGCAATGAGAAACAATTTTCCGTGGTGCAGACGAATGGAATCAACAAGATAACTAACGACACCCTCTGGGTTTTTATGGCATGCCTCTCCTAGAATATTATAAAGGTTCAATAAAGCGCATTTGTTCATACGTGTCTGAACCATTGAATGAAGAATCATACAAACAAGAAAACAAAAAATGTTATGGTCAACTAATAATAGCAAAATTTTTATGAACTTACAGTTGCCAAGCAGTTATGATGGAAGCATCAGTTGTTTGTTTTCTCAGCAGTCAAAAATATTCTTCACATGTAACCGAAAAATCATAGGTCCCGACTTCCAAAATCCCAGAATCGGCTACAATGTTAACCACTTGATTAGTCTTCAAGCAATCAAGAAGATATTCAATCGGCCTCGCCTTGCTGGATGTTTGGTTTGGTATATTCTTTTTTGTACCGGCCCTTGAAATTGTTGGCACCAAACTTGTGGTTGGCATTTGTTTCTTCGCTCTTTGTTCCTACATTTTAATTCATTTAACGATCAAATACAATTATAATTTGTTGTTTACATCAAGGTTGTCAAGATCGGGATCCTACCTAGGATCGATTTTAGGTTTGCAAGATCGGGATCGTAAGATCGGGATCGAGATCCTAAGATCCCACAAAATAGAATATAATTTTAATTTATAATATTTAATCATAAAAACTATTTCAAACATTTAGTTTTTCATTCAAAAGTTATAAAAACTTCAAAATATTAGTCATAAGTCACAATAAAAAATGATAAATGGTAGATTGGTAAAGGGTAAAAGGCATAAAGTGGTAAAAAAAATTCATTTGTAAAAAAAAATAAAAAAAAAAAAAAAAAAAAAAAAAAAAAATCAAAGGAAGGTAGGATCGGATCGGATCTCGATCCTACGATCCTACCTACGATCTTACGATCTTACCTGCGATCCTACCCCAAATACGATCCTTTTACGATCCGGATCGTTTTTCATACCTAGGATCGTAGGATCGTACGATCCTACGATCAGGATCGCGATTTTGACAACTATGGTTTACATAGTATCTTAAAAAGTAAAGGATAATGCATATATATACGTTTGCAAGAATAATTGCAATCCGGGGCCATTGAATTACAGTGCCAACTGTCCATTGTAGGTTAGCAACTTCTTTTGTCATCACAGGAACAGGAAAATTTTCATATCTACTATCGATGTCGTCTATCAGAACCTTCAGGTGATTTTTTCGTAAAGGCAATGTGTGTATTAACCCATTCCCATATGGAAATACCAATCCCTTGGCACATTTTTGGTCCAACTCCCCATAGGGTAACACCAATTCACAAGGGGTAGGCATCTGTACACATAGTAAAACAATAATAAAAATAAAAGCTCTCTGAAGGATAATAAACAAAAAAAGAGAATAATAATGTAATAACTATATTTGAATTTTTAACCATTTTAAGTATATCTATTATAGTTCAAAACCTTCTAACAAAACATGTTAATTAAAAAACTAGTCTTTTGACTAAAACACAATTCTTACAATGTTGCATTTTCTATCACAAATATTATACTAAAATAATTTGTGCAATTATAAGAATATACAAAGAAATACATTACCACTTCTAATGATATGGAATATTAAATATTTAACATCCAAGAAAAAAAATGTTAGTTAAATCAGTTAAACAAGTATATTATCACTAAAAAACAATTAGATAAACATTAGTATTCAGTTTTGTTGCTCATCCCTAGTCCTGAGCATAATTTCTCTACAAACAGGTTAACAGGTTTAGTTTTTATTGTTTCTAGATGTTACCGGAAAACAAATACACTCAATTACCTTTATCGCATCCAAAGCATCTAATGTTGGAGTCGAGCCACAATTATTTTGTTGAACCCCTAAGCTTACATCATCTGGGGCATGGTTCCTAGGCCCCTGTTGTAAGTCAAAGTGTGCTTGTAGCTTTGCCAATTGGGAGCCCATCAGATCTATCGTTGTCTGCAGTTTAACAATAGTTTCGTTTTCTTGTTTTTTCCTCTTTTTTTTTATCAGTCCCTTGCATCCCTTTTCTCAATCCAACATCATGACCAACAGCCCTGGTACGGCCCGGGTGCTCCGGTCCTATTACCTTTGTCAACAAGTCCTCTCCTGGACTGAGCTCCAAATCTCCTTCAGAGATTTGAGTCTGGACATCGACCTGTTAACAAAATCAGCAAACCAGTGAGAGTAATTACTTGAATATAAATGAATAAAAGAATTTACTTACAAGCTCGTCCATTATGGGTTGTATGGTAGGCGGTATTATGTTTAACCCCAACTCATTTTTAGATCTTCTACCCAAAACATAATGCAGTGAACGCTCGCTTTTTATCTGATACAATTGAGGTGTCAATTAACCAGATGCCATCTCTTGTTCCCACTCAGCTTTCTTGCCCCTGTAACCAAGTGGTCCTACACGAGCAGGATTCTTATTACGTGCAATTAAAGTCCAACACACTTGGAACTCCTCTGATGAAAGCTCTGCAATGTACTTCTTTCCAAATATGAGTAGGTCTCAAGTGGATCTCTTTGGTTATCACATTTCTTTTTAAGCCTTTTCTTAAAGGCTCTCCACTGGCTGTTGCATGTTTTAAGCACATCTTTTTTACGGTTGCCATTCGGAATATTCCAACGTTTCTGTTTTTGTTTTAGAATAAGGATACTAAGTATTAATAACACATCTTGATTAGATGAAAGTACATGTAATGGGTCTTATGTAGATAACAAACCTTAATCGCCGACCATAGTATATCTTTTTGAGCAATTGGCACTTTCTTCCAACTCGTATATTCAACAGAAATCACCGACCTCGTAATAACACCACACTCGTTAGCAAACTTACTTTGTTTCTTCCCAACATGCTGACCGATATTGTTGAAATCAACTTCTTGTGGCTCTTTATGGTCGACTAGTCTTGTGGCTGTTCTTTTTTTCCTCATTTGTGGTTGTGGCTGTGGTTGTAGTTCTGGTTCTTGTTGTGGCTATGGTTGTGGTTCTACTTCTTGTTGTGGCTGATCATTCATCATGTTTATTCTGGAGGAAATATATACAAAATAATATGAGACATCATAAATGTTACACTTCATGTGTTGTTACAGTAGCTGCTTTTTAGACAAGTGTCAAATTTTCAATTGTTCACATGGTGCTCCAAAGTGCAGTCTTTGAATTACCAAAAGAAAGTATATAAAGTTGGGAATCTAAGTGTGTAATATTATATACATGTTTTTTAAGTTTTGTAGACCAAAATAATATTTAAATATTTAATTTTATGTTAACATCTTACATAATTATGTTATAAATAATTGTTTATTTAATTTAAACATGAAACTATTTTATTAAAAAAATATCGTACAAATATAAGAGTTGACCATTAAAATTTAGTTGGTTCCAAACTCGAAAAACCGGCAAAAACCGGACCCGGAACCGGAACCGGTAGAACCGTCGGGCCGGTTCGGTTCTTCATTTTGGCCGAAGCCGGTTTCTCGGTCCGGTTCGGTTCCGGCCGGGTTCTTTTGCTCATCCCTACTTTTGACAAAGCAAAGTAACGTGTTCAAAGTCAAAACTGAGTCTAGAATATTGAAATACATCAAATAAAATCTAAACAAACTGACTAGCTAGTTCGGAAGACTGTGTTACACGTCTTCGATATTTTATATTCTAATGTATTTTGTTTTGTCGACTTGTCCTGCAAACAAAACAAAATATGTTAATACAATGGGTGTACTAGATTAGTACAAATTTATAATCATATTTGTGTGTTTTGTATCAAATAATTGGTTTATACCTTTCAAAGTACATGGTTTTACGACATCCATAATCCTTCATTGTGATCCAACCTTAAGTAAGTAGTGTCATCAACACCATCATTTGAAGATGGAATGTTGATAGAAAATGGGGGTAGCTCATCAAATTGATCGTACTCTTCCCCATCCACAACACTATCATCACCAAGTATATGTCATTTGTCATGCATTACGATGTGCTTTCTCAAGTCCGTTGGGTCCTCAACATAGAATATATGGCTAGGTTTTTTAGTTATAATGAATGGTTCCGATACATAGTCATTTATGGAAAGGTCAAGAATTGTAAACCCATCATTTTCAACTTTAACACCTCGTTGGTTGTCAACACCTTTGCACTTTAGCACAAGCATAATGCTGGTATCAAATATCAATTCATAAATGTAACGTATGGATCCTGGTATGTATTTAAAACCCTAACTTATTCATTTTCATAGGGCAACTCGATGATTTGCTAGCCCCAAACTTTTCGAGTAGAGATTGCTTGGGTCACAGGTTTTGAGGAACCTACTCGATGAGTTGGTAGCCTCAACTCGACGAGTTCAAGGAGGGACTCTAGGAGTTGGTTCAAAAAGTCCTGATTCTATTGAATAGGAAGAACTCGGTGGGTTTGGGGATAACTCGATGTAACAACGTAAATTTTTGAAACAAAATTTTCAATTTAAAACTCATTTAATTCAAACCAAAAATCATCAAGCATCATATTATCAAATCATCACATCACATATCCATGAACTATGAGTATCAAACACCAAGATCCTCTCAGAACATAACTCAAAGCAAGGTACCACATTCAAAGTCAAACTAAAACTAAAATATTGAAGTACATTAAATAAAATCTAAACAAACTTAGTTTGGAAAATTTGTTACGCATATTTGGTATTTGATATTGTAATGTATTATGTCGTGATTTTGTCCTGCAAATAAAAGAAAATATGTTAATACAATGGTTGTACTAGATTACTACAAATTTATAATCATATTTGTTTGTTTTGTATCAAATAATTCGTTTATTACCTTTCAAAGTACATGGTTTTATGACACCCATAATCCTTCATTGTGATATGACCTTAAGTAAGTAGTGTCGTCAACCTCATCATTTGAAGATGGAATGCCGATAGAGAATGGGGGTAGCTCGTCAAACTGATCGTACTCTTCCTCGTCCACAACATCATAAACACCAAGTATATGTCGTTTGCTATGCATAACAATGTGCTTTCCCGATTCCTTTGGGTCCTCAACATAGAATACCTGAGTAGCTTGTTTAGCTAGGATGAATGGTTCTGATACATATCCGTTTGTGGAAAGGTCAACAACTGTAAAACCATCATTGTCAACTTTAACACCTCGTTGGTTGTCAAACCATTTGCATTTTAACATAGGTATAATGATGGAATCATATTTCAATTCCCATATTTCCTGAATGACGCCATAGTATGATTCTTTGGCGATCCTCACCCTTGTATCATGACTATCTCCATATACTTCAGTTGAGGCTATTACTGTTATACCACTATTTTGAAGTGTACTTTTTCCATCTTGTTTATTAGTGTAAAATGTATAACCATTAATGTCATATCCTTGGTAAGTTGCCACAAAATCTTCAGGACCATTCCCTAGATGTACTACAGCTTGATCCACATTGTCGATGCCATAACTTGCTCTCAGTTTGTCTTTTAACCATTGTGAGAACGTTTTGTTATGTTCCCTAACCAACCATTTATTGCTCCTACCGCGATTTGACAATTCCAGTGTTCTTTTGTGTTCATTTATAAATGGAGCAATGAGTGTCATATGTTGTAGGACTGTAAAATATGCAAGTTGTAAGTCTTCTCAATTTGGAATGATCTTTTTTAATCCAATAGTCCCACTTCCTACAAGTCTACCCTCGTGTCGAGATTTTGGAATTCCAATGCTATCAACACCTTGTAAATAGTCAGTACAATATTCAATTACCTCCTCTGTTGCATATCCTTCAATAATACTACCCTCTGGTCGATGTCTATTCCTTACATACCCTTTTAAAACGCCCATATATCTCTCAAATGGATACATGTATCGTAAGTATACTGGCCCACAATACTTTATCTCTCTAACAATATGAGATGTTAGATGAACCATGACATCAAAAAATGAAGGTGGGAAATACATCTCGAGTTGGCATAATGTCAAGATAATATCACTTCCCCATGAATCTAATACCTCGGGATCAATAACTTTAGAATGAATCATGTTGAAAAACAAGCATAGCTTTGTGATTGTGTGTTGAATTCGGTCCAGTAGTATTCCACGAATTGCAATGGGAATCATATGTGCCATTAAAACATGACAAGCATGGGACTTCATACCAAATAGTTTTAGTTCTTTCATTGAGACTAACTTCTTAATGTTAGCAGAATAGCCTGATGGAACCTTTACACCATGTAAGCAGTTACAAAATTTTGTTTTCTCATCCTTTGATATGGTATAACAAGCTACTGGCAGATACGTACGCTTTCCAGGATTCCTAATAGGAGCAAGCTCGGGGCGAATTCCCATTTCAACCATGTCTTCTCGAACATTAATCCCGTCTTTTGACTTTCCCTTAATGTTCAACAATAAGGCTATCAGACTTTCACAAACGTTTTTTTCAATATGCATAACGTCAAGACAATGGCGAACCTGCAAGTGCTTCCAATATGGTAACTCCCAAAATATAGATCTTTTCTTCCAAATAAATTTAGGAGGAATTGTACCTGTACGTTTACGTTTACGTTTTCCTTTACCATTACCTTTGAATTTTCCGAATGTCACGTTTAGATTTTCAACACGAGAAAATACAGTTTCTCCTCGTAATGGTTTCCTTGCCGTCCTCTCCTCAGTTTTACCATTGAACACCTTTTTTTCTTGCGATATGGGTGATTTTTTGGAAGATATCTTCGATGATCCATATATACATTTTTCTTGCAATTTTTCAACCATAACGACTATGTATCATCTTCACAAATTGGACATGCATTTGCTCCTTTTGTGCTGTATCCAAACAAATTCCCATATGCTGGAAAATCATTTATGGTGCAATAAATCATGGCCCGAAGTTGGAAATTTTCCCCACTATATGCATCATACACTTCGACACCCGGACTCCATAATTTTTTCATGTCCTCAATTAATGGAGCTAAATAAACATCAATATCATTTCCCGGCTGTTTTGGACCTTGAATTAGTAATGACATCATGATGTATCTTCTTTTCATGCATAACCAAGGTGGGAGATTATAGATACAAAGAAGAACCGCCCATGTACTATGACGACTGCTTAGGCTTCCAAATGGATTAATTCCATCCGAACCTAATATTTCTAATCTCTCGACCAAATTCTTTAAAATTGGAATTAATATTTCTCCATTGAGGGGAATCAGCCACATGTCTTATTTTTTCGTCTATTTTACGATCAACATGCCATCGTATTAATTATGCATCTTTGGCGTTTGCAAATAACCGCTTCAATCTAGGCACAATAGGCAAATATCACAATACTTTAGCAGGTGGACCTTTCTTTTTCACATCATTGGTTTCTACTGTATGATTATTCTTCTTATACCGTGATGTACCGCATGTGATACACTTATCTAGATCTGCATACTGGTTTCTGTATAACATACAGTCATTTGGACATGCATGTATTCTTTCGATTTCCATTCCCATTGGGCACATTAGTTTTTTCGCTTGATATGTTGAAATAGGTAACTCGTTATCTTCAGGAATCATATCATTCAAAAGCTTTAGAAGATTTGTGAAACTTGTATCACTCCAACCATTGTTTGCTTTTAGGTTAAATAGTTTTAAAAAAGCAGATAATTTGGTATACTTCATACACCCAGTATACAACGGTTTTTCTAAGTCATCAAATAATTGTTGAAAATTTTCATAATCCTTTTCAGCGACATTGTCCTCCCAATCATGTAACATTCCAGATAAGTCATCGTACTTGTCATTGTTTGAATCATTGTTATCATTATTAAACTCTGAAACAACCTCATTATCATTAACCAATGTCTCCCCATGCCGTGACCAACATATATAATCTCTCATAAACCCACGAATTATTAAATGTTCCTGTACTTTGGCAGAATCAGTGTACATATGACAGTTTTGAC